CTCGAACGAAAATATTTCTTCGTGTTTAGAAACTTTACAAATTTACGCTTTAAGCAACTTCTGGCAAAATCATATTAATGTTGAAGCTGCGGACATTTTGTTGCGGGCATGGTTGCACTTTCGTCACGATGCGTATCGACGCAATTCCACAAGTAGGAGGAAAACTTGATTTCCATCAATTTAACTAAGTAACGAAGTTTCTGTCGCGTCCATTCAATTCATCGAGTGAAATGGATCTCCGTGTCGAACCAGTTGCCCGTCACCATAAAGCTTGTTTCTATCGACGTGTCATTCGCGGTAACAATGATTAGTCGCGAGCGTTCTCTGAAATTCGCAATACGAATGCAATACGTTTTTTATACGAAATTTTTATACAATTTCGTTTTTGCGTATTCATGCGGTGGGATATTGTACGAGTTAAAGCAGAGTATACCAACCGAGAAGAGCAATCCACCATATTGTCCTACTGTAATCTACAAAATGTTAAACCGTGTAATAGATACGGACGTCTGTTGAATGGCATAGTTTAATTACTTTTGGCGGGGCACACTGAATGTTCGTGCTACTGCAGATTGCTCGAGTAACCTAGTTGTATTTTCCGTTAGCTAAGCTTATTTGTATATTATTATAGAGAAATAATCTTAATGTTACATCTTAACATTCTTGTCGGTCATAATCCCAATTATTTAAAAAAAATGTATCATATCTCTAAGTATAAGTACGATATTTTTCTTCTTTTTCTGTTCTAAAAATAAGCGCAGGATACCTTATATTTGTTATATCATTAAACATTTTTCTTTGCGAAAGATAGTCTCTTGTTGTGAGGAACCCCAGCTTCTCGTAAAGCACTCTAGTTTGTTACTACAAAGCGCAAAGGGACGCTATACTCGAGAAAACAGAATGACGAGAAAAAGGATTAATCTCATGCACATCCCTGACGTAAAACGTATTTAATGTTTCTTTAATGAAGACAGCTTGGTAAAAACGTATGCCACGTGGTTAAACTAAAATACACTGAATATCTTTTCATTTTGCGGAAATGATCGTATAGTCTTATGAAGCTCGTGTTTTTATAACTCGACTGATGCGCGATATTTTTAGCAACCGTTTTCATCAAGAAAGGAATTCTTGAATACAATGTGTTGAACTTATGCACATTTGAGAGTCGAAGGAAATACTGCAGACAATGCAGAGGATACACACATTTGTAAAATAATGAACATTTGAATGAAAATTTTATGCTCTACAACATGCCAAAAAATTGCTGAAGAGGAACAATTCACACATCAAAAGGATATATCTCTAGATGAAGGTTGGTAAATAAAATTATGATTGTTTATTATAATGCTTTACGAGGTTATTATAACGCATTATTATAATACTACGAGATATCGAACATTATATTTTGCTTATGCATTCCATCTGGCTAACTTTGA